GAATTAAGTTTAATTAAATCGGTTCTTTAAAATTCTGTGGAAAATATTTCATAAAATTCTTAAAATCCATAAATTTTTTTCAGTGTTTTTCACAGTTCTTTTTGAAAATAGTAATGCATAGTGTATTGCATACTTTTGCATAAGATTTTTGTTAGAAATTCTTAAAGTTGGATAAAAATTGTATTTCTTACACGATCTTATTCATATAATAATCTAACTGAGATTTTTGTATTTTCTACATACATATATATATATATACATATGTACAGTGTCTCTCATAAGTATTCGAATTTAGGTAAACTATGAAAAGAAACCAAATTTAATAATATATTTTGTGTGGAAAATAAATAAATAAATTTGTTATATTGTCTAGATAGTCCTTAGTTTTGATATCACGCCCCTTAAAACTTGAAAACTTTACATTTACTCAAATTAGTTGTGCTTTTTTTAAAAAAAGTCCATGAAACTACTTCACAAAAGTATGCGAATTTTTCCTGTATTTCATATTTGATCATATTATACGATACACAAATTTTAGAATCGCATGGTTTTATGCTTAATATTGTTTTAAGGGGTTACTATCAACCGCATGGATATATTTTTGACCCATTTGGTCCACAATTTTGGGGGATTTGTACCCTCTTTTCATGTAATACCATTAAAATGGCGATTTTTTGCTATATTTGTAATGTTTTCACCCTTTTTCCAGAGATGAAACCAAAATTTAATGTTGGAATTTAATAGAACCCATAGGGTATCCAAAAATAATATTTTTTGTTATAAGGATCTGTACTTAAACGTTCCAAGATGTATTTTTGGTATCGTTTTTCAGTTTTGAATTATCTGGATCATAAGTCCCTTTTCGTACCTCTAGGGACGATATTTTTCGACAAAGTTGTCTAGTGTATATTCATGTACATATTGGCACTAATGTATTTTAAATTTTCAATATATTATAGCGGTATACATCCCCAAAACATGTCTTAACAAAACGTCATCCTATATAGTAGAATTCAGTTTTTACTACTCGTAACTTTCACGCTTATGTTGCCCGTTACAATAACACTGTAAGTCCTAAATTTTGGGTTTGATTTGATCATAGTAAATAATATTTAAACACATATCAACATTTTTCATGTGATCATATGATATCGTGCCATGCAGCATGGAGGCCATTGGTATATAAAAATAATGATTTTACTATTTTGAATGGTGCTTCTTCGAGGCATGTTTTGGAGTTGTACACTTCCACAACACTTTGAAAACTTAAAATGTATAAAAGCTGATATCTAAAAGAATATATACCAGAAAACTTTCCTCGAAAATAGTTGATCCTAGTATTATAAAAATGGACTTAAGTTCCAATATATTGAAGAAGAATGATCCAAATAATTTATCTTGGAACGTTTAAATACAGATTCTTGTAACAAAAAATATTATTTTAGATACCCCAAGGGGTCTTTTAATTCCCAATATCAAATTTTTGTTTTATCTCTGGAAAAAAGGAGAAACATTTACAATTATGGCCAAAAATCGCCATTTTAATGATATTACATGAAAAGAGGGTACAAATTCCCCAAAATTGTGGACCAAATGGGCCAAAAATATATCCTTTCCGTGGATAGTAACCCCTTAAAACAATATTACGCATAAAAACCATTCGATTCTAAAATTTGTGTTGCGTATAATATGATCAAATATGAAATACAGGAAAAATTCGTATACTTTTGTGAGGCAATTTCATGGACTTTTTTTAAAAAAGCACAATTAATTTAAGTCAACGCAAATTTTTCAAGTTTTAAAAAGCGTGATATCAAACATAAGGACTATCTAGACAATATAACAAATTAATTTATTTATTTTGCACACAAAATATATTATATAATTTGGTTTCTTTTTATTGTTTACCCAAATTCGAATAAATATGAGAGACACTGTATGTATATGTAATGCCGTTGTATGTAATCATGTGTTAACCAAGTAGTTTATAAAAGTTATGAAGTGTGTTTTATATGTAGATATGTACATCTAAATGTTATGACCCAATTTTCTTCTCCAAGTTTAACTTTGAATTTTATATTACTTTTTTCTTATGTCTTTTATTTGTAGTACACAAAATTTTAGTTAAAATTTCATAAGTGGTTTTTATATTTCTTTAGGGAGAAAGAATTTTTATTAATAAGAATAAAATACTTAGTTGCTGGTGACATAAAATAAATAGAACATTGTGGTGCAATATGATATAGTAAATTAAGTATTTGTGAGATTTCTAAGAAAAAGTTTTTTTTTTTTTTAGTTCAGTTACAATTTATGGTTTTTAAACTTGGATTTAAGATTTGTTGCAAAGGGAAATCTTATAAAGCTTTATTGATATTCTACTAGAGAAAATTATTTCTTGGTAACTTTACTAGTTTTGTTTTCTCATTGTTAAAAACACTAGTATCTCCTTAGTTCCTTTTCCTTTTTAATTAATAACTGAATTTATTATTTCTAATTACAGATATTTTGTCTAAACACCCCTTCTCCTTTGCAAATACTCTAAAAACGCAAAAATTGTTAAAGATTCACAAATATGGTGGCCGGTTTCGAGCAACGTCCTTGGACACCAACTGTTAGACGTGGACAAATAGCTGCTGAAACATCCACCCCTGGACCAGCAGCAGTAACACTACCCAGTTTAATAGGTAAGCTTAATTTATGTCTGTTAAAATGCCTCTACTGAGCTTTTCAATTAAGTTTATAATCCAGTTCAGTTAATAGTTTAGACTATAGTCCAAACTATAGTTAAGACTTTAATCCAAAACATTGCAAGGACTATAGTTCACACTATATTCCAGACTATAGTTTATACAATTGTCCAGACTATTGCTCCAACTAAAGTAATGACTATAGTCTATAGCAAAGGCTGCAGTTTAAACTAAAGTTAGACTATACTCCAGTCTATAGTCCAGTTTATAGTATAGACTACAGATAAGACTATAAGGCTATAGTTCAGACTCTTATCCATTCTCCAGTTTGTAGTATAGACAAAAGATGAGGCTATAGTTTAGACTCTTATTCAGGCTATACTCCAGTTTTTAGTATATACTATAGTTTAATGTATATTCCAGACTGTAGGTTAGACTGTAGTTCTGACTGCAATTCAGTCTGTAGTCCATACTATATATAGTCCAGACTATAATTTAGTCAATAGTCAGGCATATAGTTTAGGCTATAGTCCAGATTATTGTCAAAACTATAGTCGAGACTGCTGTTCTAGTCCACAGCATAGTCCACACTATAGCCCCATCTATAGAACAGGCTATAGTTTAACCTATAATCCAGAATATAGTTCAGATTTTAGTCTAGTCTATAGTCTAGACAATAGTTCAGAATATAGTTTAGACTATATTACAGTCTATAGTCCACAATTTAGTTCAGGCAGTTTCAATCAGCATAGTTCAAACTATGGCCTAGACTATAGTTCAGACTATAGTGTTGACTGTAATTAAGACTAAAGTCCAGACTATAGTTCAGATTATAGTCTAGTCCGTAGTTCAGATTATAGTTCAGACTATAGTTCAGACTATTGTCCAGACTATTTTCCAGACTAAACTTCAGACTATAGTTCCGGCTAAAGCTTAGACTGTAATCCTGAATATCGTTCAGACTACAGAACATACTATAGTTCAGACTATAGTTTAGACTTTAGTGTAGCCTATAGTTCAGAATATAGTTTAGATTATAGTCCAATCTATATTCCACACAATAGTCCAGACTGAATTCCACTCTATAGTCCCGACTATAGTCTAGAATATAGTTCAGACTATATTCTAGACTATAGTTAACATTATAGCCTGTACTTTTGTCCAGACTATAGTTCAGACCATCGTCCAGACTTATTCCATATACTCCATACCATACTATATATAATAGTTAAGACTATAAGTGAAGTGAATAGTGAAGACTTTTGTCCAAAATATAGTTCCGTTTAAAGTTCAGACTATAGTTCAGTTTAAAGTCTTGACTATATAGATCAATATAGATATAGACTACAGACTACAGTCTAGACTGGAATACAAATTACAGACTATTTTATGGTCCAGATTATAGACAACTAGGTAACTAGCCCAGAATATAGTCCATTCCATAGTCTAACATCCATTAGAAAAACAAAATTTCTAACAAGACGTTTTTCTCTTTTAGGCAACAAAGTAACAGATTCACGAAAAAATGCAGCTCCTTCCTTTACCTTTGGACAAAAACATCGACAAACTGTACAATCCCTAGGAGAGGGACCTGCAAAATACAATGTCACTGGCCTGGGCAATAAAGGCAAAGACACACCACCAGCCGCTACGTTACAAAGTCGTCACAAAGAAATGTCTAAATTCTCGACACCAGCACCCGGTGAATATGACATACAAAAAGCGGTAAAGGCCATAAATCAATCGACACCCAAATATACATTTGGACAGAAATTGGCGACAGAAAAGTTTAATACAACACCAGGTATGTGTGAAAAGAGGAAGAAGGGTTATATTTAAAAAAAAAAAATAAAGTATTTATAATACATATTGGTGGTATATGGTGTAAATTTTGTTACTCTTTATTTTCAATAAATGTCTTAAATAAATGGGTGTTTGGGTTAGTGTTAATATGCTGTCATTTTGAACTTCATATATCGTACATATTAGTTCACTTAATTGTATTTTTATTTGCAGACTTTACAGATAAAGAAATTAAAAAAAGAGCTTGAAAAGCCAAAGCTTTTAACATAATTCTCATAATGGTCATTCAACAGTTTAAATTTCGTTCAGTGTAAATATAAACATTTTAGCATTTATCATAATACTTTTTTAAATCACAAATAATATTTTTGTGACAAAATATCAGTTTTGTTTCGCACTGTCATGTTTATTATATAGTATTAAGGGTATTCACTTAGAACAAACAAGTTTCGGGTTTTAGAGGCAAAAGATAAAAAAGTTAAAAATATTTATACAATCAAGTGAATACACCTAAGGCTCACTTCCCATCGGTAACGAAAACCTAATTCCATAAATTTGCTATAAAAGAAACGATCTTCCCTTAAACGGTATTTCGTTATAGGCTCGGATTACGATATATGCGGAAATGAGCCTTTTTATCAGTTTTAGTATTTCTTTGTGTTTGTAGTTAGATTCCAAATACTTTTTTCTCTCTTACTTTACTATGTGTGTTAAATATTTCTGTTTGTTTTTGTATTTTCTGTACAATTTGGTAAATTGTTGTTCTGTTTTTTTATCAAAATTATTAATCTTGTTTTTTATTTTGTTTTTCTTTTATCCAAAACTCCAACCATCCCCCCTAAACCTCTACCAAACTAAACCCCATCAAAAAAACCTGTGCAAAAATTCTACTCTATTTCTAATTTAGGTCCAAATCATTATCGAGTTGTTCCGCTCGATATAATAAAACCTCGTGCCCCTCAGTATACGTTTCGTATTAAACTTAAAGTTTTTCTAATTAATACACCAGGTAACATTGTTTTTTTATCTCAATTCCTTGATATCGTTATATCTTATTAAATGTTATTTTTGTGTGTATATGTTGTATGTCTTCCTTGTATACCTATAATAATCTCATTGCTCTGTGATCAATATCGGGTTATATTTTGTAGTTACCATACTGATTTATTGGTACGATAAATATTAACCCGATATTGTGTTAAAAGAGAGTTAATAGGTTATGTTATCTGTTAGTAAAAATTTAGTCACTTTGTATATAAATCATGTGAAATTACTTTAAATACACCACATGTTATGCACTTGTCCTTTAGTATAGAATCTGAATATTTAACGTCTATGCTGGGTCTTATAAAATAAATCTAATGGTAGTCTTTAATTTCTTATAAATTATATAGACTAGACTATACTGGACTAGATTATAGAATATATTATATACTACACTATAGACAAGATTGTAGACTCGAATATAGACCTGACTATTGACCAGACTATGGACTTTACGGTATACGGTATAAGACTGGGTCATAGACTAGAATATGGACTTGGCTTTAGAGCAGACAATAGACTAGACTATAGACTAGACTATAGACTAGACTATAGACTAGACTATAGACTAGACTATAGACTAGACTATAGACTAGACTATAGACTAGACTATAGACTAGACTATAGATTAGACTATAGACTAGACTATAGACTAGACTATAGACCAGACTATAGACTAGACTATAGACTAGACTATAGACTAGACTAAAGACTAGACTATAGACTAGACTATAGACTATAGACTAGGACTATAGACTAGACTATAGACTAGACTATAGACTAGACTATAGACTAGACTATAGATTAGACTATAGACTAGACTATAGACTAGACTATAGACCAGACTATAGACTAGACTATAGACTAGACTATAGACTAGACTAGACTATAGACTAGACTATAACTAGACTATAGACTAGACTATAGACTAGACTATAGACTAGACTATAGACTAGACTATAGACTAGACTAGAGACTAGACTATAGACTAGACTATAGACTAGACTATAGACTAGACTATAGACTAGACTATAGACTAGACTAGACTAGACTTAGACTAGACTATAGACTAGACTATAGACTAGACTATAGACTAGACTATAGACTAGACTATAGACTAGACTATAGACTAGACTATAGACAGACTATAGACTAGACTATAGACTAGACTATAGACTAGACTATAGACTAGACTATAGACTAGACTATGACTAGACTATAGACTAGAATACTAGACTATAGACTAGACTATAGACTAGACTATAGACTAGACTATAGACTAGACTATAGACTAGACTATAGACTAGACTATAGACTAGACTATAGACTAGACTATAGACTAGACTATAGACTAGACTATAGACTAGATAGACTAGACTATAGACTAGACTATAGACTAGACTATAGACTAGACTATAGACTAGACTATAGAACTAGACTATAGACTAGACATAGACTAGACTATAGACCTAGACTATAGACTAGACTATAGACTAGACTATAGACTAGACTATAGACTAGACTATAGACTAGACTATAGACTAGACTATAGACTAGACTATAGACTAGACTATAGACTAGACTATAGACTAGACTATAGACTAGACTATAGACTAGACTATAGACTAGACTATAGACTAGACTATAGACTAGACTATAGACTAGACTATAGACTAGACTATAGACTAGACTATAGACTAGACTATAGACTAGACTATAGACTAGACTATAGACTAGACTATAGACTAGACTATAGACTAGACTATAGACTAGACTATAGACTAGACTATAGACTAGACTATAGACTAGACTATAGACTAGACTATAGACTAGATATAGACTAGACTATAGACTAGACTATAGACTAGACTATAGACTAGACTATAGACTAGACTATAGACTAGACTATAGACTAGACTATAGACTAGACTATAGACTAGACTATAGACTAGACTATAGACTAGACTATGACTAGACTATAGACTAGACTATAGACTAGACTATAGACTAGACTATAGACTAGACTATAGACTAGACTATAGACTAGACTATAGACTAGACTATAGACTAGACTATAGACTAGACTATAGACTAGACTATAGACTAGACTATAGACTAGACTATAGACTAGACTATAGACTAGACTATAGACTAGACTATAGACTAGACTATAGACTAGACTATAGACTAGACTATAGACTAGACTATAGACTAGACTATAGACTAGACTATAGACTAGACTATAGACTAGACTATAGACTAGACTATAGACTAGACTATAGACTAGACTATAGACTAGACTATAGACTAGACTATAGACTAGACTATAGACTAGACTATAGACTAGACTATAGACTAGACTATAGACTAGACTATAGACTAGACTATAGACTAGACTATAGACTAGACTATAGACTAGACTATAGACTAGACTATAGACTAGACTATAGACTAGACTATAGACTAGACTATAGACTAGACTATAGACTAGACTATAGACTAGACTATAGACTAGACTATAGACTAGACTATAGACTAGACTATAGACTAGACTATAGACTAGACTATAGACTAGACTATAGACTAGACTATAGACTAGACTATAGACTAGACTATAGACTAGACTATAGACTAGACTATAGACTAGACTATAGACTAGACTATAGACTAGACTATAGACTAGACTATAGACTAGACTATAGACTAGACTATAGACTAGACTATAGACTAGACTATAGACTAGACTATAGACTAGACTATAGACTAGACTATAGACTAGACTATAGACTAGACTATAGACTAGACTATAGACTAGACTATAGACTAGACTATAGAATAGACTATACTCTAGTCTATAGTAGACTAGACTATAGACTAGACTATAGACTAGACTATAGACTAGACTATAGACTAGACTATAGACTAGACTATAGACTAGACTATAGACTAGACTATAGACTAGACTATAGACTAGACTATAGACCGAGACTATAGACTAGGGACTAGACTAGTAGACTATAGACTACACTATAGACTAGACTATAGACCAGACTATAGACTAGACTATAGACTAGGACTATAGACTAGACTAGACTGTAGACTAGACTATAGACTAGACTATAGACTAGACTATAGACTAGACTATAGACTAGACTATAGACTAGACTATAGACTAGGCTATAGACTAGACTATAGACTAGACTATAGACTGACTATAGACTAGACTATAGACTAGACTATAGACTAGACTATAGACTAGACTATAGACTAGACTATAGACTAGACTGTAGACTTAGACTATAGATTAGACTATAGACTAGACTATAGGCTAGACTATAGACTAGACTATAGACTAGACTATAGGCTAGATCATAGACTAGACTATAGACTAGACTATAGACTAGACTTTAGACTAGACTATAGGACTAGACTATAGACTAGACTATAGACTAGACTATAGACTAGACTATAGACTAGACTATAGACTAGACTATAGATTAGACTATAGACTAGACTATGGACTAGACTATAGACTAGACTAGACTAGACTATAGACTAGACTATAGACTAGACTATAGACTAGACTATAGACTAGACTATAGACTAGACTATAGACTAGACTATAGACTAGACTATAGACTAGACTATAGACTAGACTATAGACTAGACTAGACTAGACTATAGACTAGACTATAGACTAGACTATAGACTAGACTATAGACTAGACTATAGACTAGACTATAGACTAGACTATAGACTAGACTATAGACTAGACTATAGACTAGACTATAGACTAGACTATAGACTAGACTATAGACTAGACTATAGTAGACTAGACTATAGACTAGTCTATAGACTAGACTATAGACGAGACTATAGACTAGTCTATAGACTAGACTATAGACTAGACTATAGACTAGTCTATAGACTAGACTATAGACTAGTCTATAGACTAGACTATAGACTAGTCTATAGACTAGACTATAGACTAGTCTATAGACTAGACTATAGACTAGACTATAGACTAGACTATAGACTAGACTATAGAGTAGACTATAGACTAGACTATAGACTAGACTATAGACTAGACTATAGACTAGACTATAGACTAGACTATAGACTAGACTATAGACTAGACTATAGACTAGACTATAGACTAGACTATAGACTAGACTATAGACTAGACTATAGACTAGACTATAGACTAGACTATAGACTAGACTATAGACTAGACTATAGACTAGACTATAGACTAGACTATAGACTAGACTATAGAGTAGACTAGACTATAGACTAGACTATAGACTAGACTATAGACTAGACTATAGACTAGACTATAGACTAGACTATAGAGTAGACTATAGACTAGACTATAGACTAGACTATAGACTAGACTATAGACTAGACTATAGACTAGACTATAGACTAGACTAGACTATAGACTAGACTATAGACTAGACTATAGACTAGACTATAGACTAGACTATAGACTAGACTAGACTATAGACTAGACTATAGACTAGACTATAGACTAGACTATAGACTAGACTAGACTATAGACTAGACTATAGACTAGACTATAGACTAGACTATAGACTAGACTATAGACTAGACTATAGCCTAGACTATAGACTAGACTATAGACTAGACTATAGACTAGACTATAGACTAGACTATAGACTAGACTATAGACTAGACTATAGACTAGACTATAGACTAGACTATAGACTAGACTATAGACTAGACTATAGACTAGACTATAGACTAGACTATAGACTAGACTATAGACTAGACTATAGACTAGACTATAGACTAGACTATAGACTAGACTATAGACTAGACTATAGACTAGACTATAGACTAGACTAGACTATAGACTAGACTATAGACTAGACTATAGACTAGACTATAGACTAGACTATAGACTAGACTATAGACTAGACTATAGACTAGACTATAGACTAGACTATAGACTAGACTATAGACTAGACTATAGACTAGACTATAGACTAGACTATAGACTAGACTATAGACTAGACTATAGACTAGACTATAGACTAGACTATAGACTAGACTATAGACTAGACTATAGACTAGACTATAGACTAGACTATAGACTAGACTATAGACTAGACTAGACTATAGACTAGACTATAGACTAGACTATAGACTAGACTATAGACTAGACTATAGACTAGACTATAGAAGACTATAGACTAGACTATAGACTAGACTATAGACTAGACTATAGACTAGACTATAGACTAGACTATAGACTAGACTATAGACTAGACTATAGACTAGATATAGACTAGACTATAGACTAGACTATAGACTAGACTATAGACTAGACTATAGACTAGACTATAGACTAGACTATAGACTAGACTATAGACTAGACTATAGACTAGACTATAGACTAGACTATAGACTAGACTATAGACTAGACTATAGACTAGACTATAGACTAGACTATAGACTATACTAGACTATAGACTATACTAGACTATAGACTATACTAGACTATAGACTAGACTAGGACTATAGACTAGACTATAGACTAGACTATAGACTAGACTATAGACTAGACTATAGACTAGACTATAGACTAGACTATAGACTAGGACTATAGACTAAACTATAGACTAGAATATAGACTAGACTATAGACTAAACTATAGACTAGAATATAGACTAGACTATAGACTAGACTATGGACTAGACTATAGACTAGACTATAGACTAGACTATAGACTAGACTATAGACTAGACTATAGACTAGACTATAGACTAGACTATAGACTAGACTATAGACTAGACTATAGACTAGACTATAGACTAGACTATAGACTATAGACTAGACTATAGACTAGATTATAGACTAGACTATAGACTAGACTATAGACTAGACTATAGACTAGACTATAGACTAGACTATGGGCTAGACTATAGACTAGACTATAGACTAGACTATAGACTAGACTATGGGCTAGACTATAGACTAGACTATAGACTAGACTATGGGCTAGACTATAGACTAGAATATAGACTAGACTATAGACTAGACTATGGACTAGACTATAGACTAGACTATAGACTAGACTATAGACTAGACTATAGACTAGACTATAGACTAGACTATAGACTAGACTATAGACTAGACTATAGACTAGACTATAGACTAGACTATAGACTAGACTATAGACTAGACTATAGACTAGACTATAGACTAGACTATAGACTAGATTATAGACTAGACTATAGACTAGACTATAGACTAGACTATAGACTAGACTATAGACTAGACTATGGGCTAGACTATAGACTAGACTATAGACTAGACTATAGACTAGACTATGGGCTAGACTATAGACTAGACTATAGACTAGACTATGGGCTAGACTATAGACTAGACTATAGACTAGACTATAGACTAGACTATAGACTAGACTATAGACTAGACTATAGACTAGACTATAGACTACACTATAGACTAGACTATAGACTAGACTATATACTAGACTACAGATTAGGCAATGGATCAAAGTAGAGACTATAGACTAAACTATTGACTAGACTATAGACTTGACAGTAAATCAGACTATTGATTAAACTATTGATTAGACTATAGACTATACTGCAGAGTAGACAATAGACTAGACCATAGACTAGAGACCTAACTATAGACCAGACTACAGTCTAGTCTATAGTGTAGTCTGGTCTGGTCGACTAGACTATCTTTATGTTAGAAGTGTCATTAGATTTTTATGTAAACACAGTTCAAAATAGGTATTCAATATCTGCCAAATATTGCTTCAGAAATGGTGAAGGTGTTTATTAAATATCTTGTAGAGAAACTTTGTAGCTTTTCTTTGCTATTTTTTTATATGTTTTTATAGTCCCATTTTATAAAATTATTATAAATTGTATATCTTGAGAGCTGAGTCTTCAATTCTGTCCTGAAAACATTGCATTTTATAATTTAAAAATCCAAAGCTTATTTCGTTTTCATACAGATCCTATCCTCCGCTCTTGTGTTAGGTCTTGAATAAATGGAGATTGCTTTGTCTCAATTCTCCCTTTTTGCTAAATTAATTTTTTTCCGTATATATATTTTTAATTTTTGTAATTTGGTGATTTTAATGATAACAACGTTATTAGAGGATACTCTTGAATCAAATAAATAATCTAAGAACTAACACACGGCCAGACGGACATTGTTAAAGCAACCTTCAGAACTATAAAGTTGTGCTTTTATATGTTTTGGTAAAGGGTATAATAGAATCGAATGCATATTACATTTTTACTTGTTAATTTTCATGTTTTGGTTTATTAAGATAATTTAAAAGCTCTGTGAAGAGCTTTATTTTTTTCAGTTTTTCAATACTTTGATTTTTTCTAAATTAAACAAATTACATAAGTTCTTAAGTGATATTTTAATTTGTAAATATTATTTTCATATTTTCAATAATTCCCCAAAAGAAATATACATTTTTTATTATTGTCATCCATACCAACGATCACTTTCGTCGTTCAATTATTTCACATTACAAAAGCTCCTGTAAATACAATCACTACTCATAGCACTGTGTAATTAAATGAAAGCTTTTATATTATTATAAAGCTTTAAAGCTGCACAGTATATGTAACCTAAATTATAAAATATGGTTAATTTTAAATAATTTCTTAATAAATAAACTTATTTTCTTTGTCAAAATTTCTTTTTAATTTATGTTTATGAATTGTACACTAACAAAAACAAAAAAATAAAAAATACACACAAAAATCACAGCGCCAAATAGCTATCGTCCCGAGAGGGTTTCGCTATCGAAAAAGAATTCACCGCGTTACTCATTTGGTAGACGTACAAAAATAAACTTCGATAAGGGAACACCAGGTAAACTAAAAACAAATTAATTTAACTTCAACATAATAATTATTTAGCTGTTTTTGTTAATTAAATGTTGGGCACCAAAGCTTTTTAGTCGTTTACTTAATTACTTGTGTAGTATATACAAAGAAAAGCTTAGCTTAGCTTTAAGCTTGAAGGCTTTTTATGTTTTAATTAGTGCAAACATAAGCTTATTTTTAATTTATTATTTTGTTTTAATAATTTTTCATTTAGCACCTGGATCATATAGTCCGGAAAAAGCTAAATTACACTCAACACCAGCTTTTACCATGTCGGGCAAAAACTCGCATGATGTAGTGGATTGTACACCTGGTGAGTAGATTACTTATTTGAAAGCTCCGTAATTTTAGAGAATAGGGAACGAAACTTTAACTAGTTTAAAGCTTTTAAAGTTTTGTTTGTGTGAAAGCTTTAAAACATTCATTTGTCGTAAAAAGCTTTCTGTAATTCGTCTAGCTAGTTTTGTAATTATTTGTTGTAAATAACCAATTAAAAAATCTTACAGCTCCAGGTGCATATGAACCGGAAAAATGCCACTTAGACAAGACTATAGCCTACACCATATCAGGTCGCCATACAATACACAAAACCAGTGATACACCCGCTCCGGGAGCATATGCCCCCGAAAAATGTCGCTTAGATCATGCACCGGCTTTTAGCATTAAGGGTAAATATAATGTACAAAAAGTCGATGAAACACCAGCTCCCGGAGCTTATGCTCCCGAAAAAGCTAAGCTAGATCATACACCGGCATTTACCATGAGCGGACGCCATGAGGTGCACAAAGCTAGTGAAACACCAGCACCTGGTGCTTATTGCCCAGAAAAAGTAAGACTAGATCATACACCCGCCTATACGATGGCTGGTAAGCATCAGAGTAAAGTTAAAAATGAGACACCAGCACCTGGCGCCTATGCTCCAGAAAAATGTAGATTAGATCATACACCTGCTTATTCCATGACAAGCCGTCATGATGTGCAAAAGCCTAGTGAAACACCAGCACCCGGTGCCTATAGTCCGGAAAAGGTAAGACTCGATCATACGGTTGCCTATACAATGGCTGGCAAACATGAGCAAAAAATTACCAGTGATACACCAGCTCCTGGAGCTTATGCCCCGGAAAAATGTAAATTAGATAACACACCTGCTTATTCTTTTGCTGGCCGCCATGATCTTCAAAAGCCAAGTGAAACACCAGCTCCCGGTGCCTATTGCCCGGAAAAGGTACGTTTAGATCATACTCCGGCCTATAGTATGGCCGGTAAACATGATGCCAAAATTACAAATGATACACCAGCACCAGGTGCTTATGCCCCGGAAAAGTGTAAGTTAAATGGTACACCTGCCTATTCAATGGGTGGTCGCCATGATTTACAGAAACCTAGTGAAACGCCAGCTCCCGGTGCCTACTGCCCGGAAAAGGTACGTTTAGATCATACCCCAGCCTATAGCATGGGAGGCAGACATGATCCTAAGTATAATAATGAAACACCAGCTCCTGGAGATTACGCCCCCGAAAAGTGTAGACTAGATGGTACGCCTGCCTACTCAATGGGCGGCCGTCATAATTTACAAAAACCTAGTGATACTCCGGCACCAGGTGCCTATGCTCCTGAGAAGTGCAAATTGGATGGTACACCTGCTTATACAATGGCAGGCAAACATGATCCCAAGATCAATAATGAAACCCCAGCTCCAGGAGCTTATGCTCCTGAAAAATGCAGATTAGATGGCACTCCTGCTTACTCAATGGCTGGTCGCCACAATTTACAGAAACCCAGTGATACTCCAGCCCCTGGTGCCTATGCTCCTGAGAAATGCAGATTGGATGGCACCCCCGCTTATACAATGGGAGGCAAACATGATCCTAAGATCTCAAATGACACACCAGCTCCTGGCGCCTATGCTCCCGAAAAGTGTAGATTAGACGGCACTCCTGCTTACTCTCTAGCTGGTCGCCATAACCAGCAAAAACCCAGTGATACTCCAGCTCCCGGTGCCTATGCTCCTGAAAAGTGCAGATTGGATGGCACTCCTGCTTATACTATGGCTGGTAAACATGATGTCAAAAATAAAAATGATACTCCCGCTCCTGGAGCTTATGCCCCCGAAAAGTGTAGACTGGATAATACTCCCGCCTATACAATGGCTGGCAAGCATGATCCTAAAATACAAAACAATACTCCTGCTCCGGGTGATTACGCTCCCGAAAAGTGCAGACTAGATAACACTCCTGCTTTTAGCATTAAAGGGCGCCATAATTTGGAAAAACCCAGTGATACTCCCGCCCCAGGAGCTTATGCTCCGGAAAAAACATCGTTTAGATCATACACCCGCCTACACCATGGCCGGCAAACATCAGCCCAAAGTTAATAACGAGACACCAGCCCCTGGAGATTATGCTCCTGAAAAATCCAATTTAGATCATACGCCCGCTTTTACCATTGCTGGACGTCATAATTTAACAAAACCCAGTGATACTCCCGCTCCAGGAGCTTATGCCCCCGAAAAACATCGTTTGGACCACACACCTGCCTTTACCATGGCCGGTAAACATCAGCCCAAAGTAAGCAATGATACTCCTGCTCCTGGTGATTATGCTCCAGAAAAATGTAATTTGGATCATACTCCTGCCTACACCATTACCGGACGTCATGAGTTGAAAAAACCCAACGATACTCCTGCTCCCGGGGCCTATGCCCCCGAAAAACATCGTTTAGATCACACCCCAGCCTTCACTATAGCCGGTAAACATCAATCTAAAGTAAACAGTGAAACACCAGCACCCGGCGATTATGCTCCCGAAAAACATCGTTTAGATCATACACCAGCCTATACATTTGCCGGCAAACATGATCCCAAGATTGTAAGTGAAACCCCGGCACCCGGAGCTTATTCCCCCGAAAAAGTACGTTTAGATCATACGCCCGCCTTTACAATTGTCGGTCGCAAAGTAGATAGATTTATAAGTGAATCACCAGCACCGGGTGCTTACAGTCCCGAAAAGGTTAGACTTGATCATATACCAGCCTATACTATGACAGGACGCAATACAGTTCATCATGTGCAAAATACACCAGCACCTGGTGATTATAAACCCGAAATGTGCGATATTAAAGGACCTGCCACACCAGCTTTTACTTTTGGTTTAAAATTAAAACAGGAACATGTCAGTGATACACCTGGTAAGTTAATCACAAGTGGATAAAGAAAAGGAGAAAGTTTAAGGGGCCGAAACAAAGCATTCGTTAACGTAGAAACTTTAAATTTTACACGATCATGAATGCGATGATTCAAGTCCCGTTTGTAAGTAGGTTTAGGAAGGAATTGTATATCTTAAAAGTCTTGTTAGAAAATATAATCTATCTCTTGTATATAATAAGCACTCTCTTAAAAACTCTCTATACACTTCAGCACCCACTGCCTATGAACCAGAAAAGCACTCTCTTGAACATAAAATATCGTATACCTTTGGCACTAAAACGGAAACCAAAACGGTGACCGATTCACCAGGTAGGCTTTAAGCAAATAATATAACTCTTAACTTTTGTATTGCAAACCCTTAATGATAAAAATTTGAATTTATTAACGGTTTCCGAAATGACAAATTCAAAATTTGTTTATGAATCTGATATCTTAACAATATCTTGCTATATTTTCTTTGCATGTTTAGCTCCTGGTCATTATCATCCAGAAAACTATAAGCCCGATCATTCGCCATCTTATACGTTTGGTGTTAAGACCACAGCAATGCCAGGTAGGTTATGAGCTTTTAAAATAAATTGTCTAAGCATGTTAACGTTAACGTTACCATTATCGTTAGACGTTTTCTGTTTTATTTTATCACTTATCATTTGTATATATTTTTATTTATTTCCCTATTTAATTTATTTGTTCATTATTTTGCGTGTTTTTGTATGTATTGTGTTTTTTGTTGATGTATATTTTGATGTTATGAACCATATACATACAAACATATAAATAGCTTTGCCTCGGGGCAGATATGTTGAAGATCGCATATTGCAAAGACGTGAGAGACGTTTAGCAAGTCCGGGTAAGCATTTCATTTTCAAAAGTAGCCTTTATAGTTACTAATTATAACATACTTCAATTGTTAAATACTAACTTTGGGTTTAATACAAGAGTTCTAATTTGGTTTTGGGAAAGTTGGTGGAAAATCAGTATAACTACTTGACTTAATATCGTATCACTTTTTAATAAAAACTTTACAATACCGATAAGTTTTCCAAAGATAATTTTTCTATTCAAAAATTGTCCAAAGAATGTTACCATATCGAAATGTTTTCGAAAGACAGTTATCAATATCGAAAAGTTGTTTAATGAAACTTTTTTATATTTTCCAAAAAGTTTTCAATTTCGAAAAGCTTTCCAAAATATTGAAAAGTTTTCTTAAGAAAGTTTTCTAAAGAAAGTTTTAAATAACATAAAGTTTTATATAGAAACATTTCAGTAAAGAAAAGTTATCTAAAGAAACTTTTAAAAGTAAAAAAGCTTTCTAAAGAAGCTTTTCAATTTTGAAAAGTTTTCCAAGGAAACTATTCAGTATAGAAAAATGGAAATGGTTTCTAAAAAAAAAACTTTCTTGAGGAAACTTTTCAATGCGTATATAATATCTAAAGGATGTTCTCAGTTTCGAAAAGTTTTCCAAAGTAATTTTTCAATGTCCTTTCATAATATAGACATTCATTCTCGATTCTCTGATCGACATATAAACATCTTTTGAACTGGTTTAAGTAATGGAACTCATGGAGCAGTTAATAGCAAACCAGTCTCTACCGGACAAGATCACCAAGGGATAGAATATTGGATAAAGTTTTCCAAAGTTGTTCTTCTATCTCATAAACTGAACTAGAACTGAACTAGACCTGAACTAGAACTGAACCAGAACTGAACTAGAACTGAACTAGAACTGAACTAGAGCTGAACTAGAACTGAACTAGAACTGAACTAGAACTGAACTAGAACTGAACTAGAACTGAACTAGAACTGAACTAGAACTGAACTAGAACTGAACTAGAACTGAACTAGAACTGAACTAGAACTGAACTAGAACTGACTAGAACTGAACTAGAACTGAACTAGAACTGAACTAGAACTGAACTAGAACTGAACTAGAACTGAACTAGAACTGAACTAGAACTGAACTAGAACTGAACTAGAACTGAACTAGAACTGAACTAGAACTGAACTAGAACTGAACTAGAACTGAACTAGAACTGAACTAGAACTGAACTAGAACTGAACTAGAACTGAACTAGAACTGAACTAGAACTGAACTAGAACTGAACTAGAACTGAACTAGAACTGAACTAGAACTGAACTAGAACTGAACTAGAACTGAACTAGAACTGAACTAGAACTGAACTAGAACTGAACTAGAACTGAACTAGAACTGAACTAGAACTGAACTAGAACTGAACTAGAACTGAACTAGAACTGAACTAGAACTGAACTAGAACTGAACTAGAACTGAACTAGAACTGAACTAGAACTGAACTAGAACTGAACTAGAACTGAACTAGAACTGAACTAGAACTGAACTAGAACTGAACTAGAACTGAACTAGAACTGAACTAGAACTGAACTAGAACTGAACTAGAACTGAACTAGAACTGAACTAGAAACTGAACTAGAACTGAACTAGAACTGAACTAGAACTGAACTAGAACTGAACTAGAAACTGAACTAGAACTGAACTAGAACTGAACTAGAACTGAACTAGAACTGAACTAGACTGAACTAGAACTGATCTAGAACTGAACTAGAACTGAACTAGAACTGAACTAGAACTGAACTAGAACTGAACTAGAACTGAACTAGAACTGATCTAGAACTGAACTAAAACTGAACTAGAACTAAACTAGAACTGAAATAGAACTGAACTAGAACTGAACTAGAACTGAACTAGAACTGAACTAGAACTGAACTCGAACTGAACTAGAACTGAACTAGAACTGAACTAGAACTGAACTAGAACTGAACTAGAACTGAACTAGAACTGAACTAGAACTGAACTAGAACTGAACTAGAACTGAACTAGAACTGAACTAGAACTGATCTAGAACTGAACTGAACTAGAACTGAACTAGAACTGAACTAGAACTGAACTAGAACTGAACTAGAACTGAACTAGAACTGAACTAGAACTGAACTAGAACTGAACTAGAACTGATCTAGAACTGAACTAGAACTGAACTAGAACTAAACTAGAACTGAACTAGAACTGAACTAAAACTAAGCGAACTAGAACTGAACTAGAACTGAACTAAAACTAAGCGAACTAGAACTGAACTAGAACTGAACTAGAACTGAACTAGAACTGAACTAGAACTGAACTAGAACTGAACTAGAACTGAACTAGAACTGAACTAGAACTGAACTAGAACTGAACTAGAACTGAACTAGAACTGAACTAGAACTGAACTAGAACTGAACTAGAACTGAACTAGAACTGAACTAGAACTGAACTAGAACTGAACTAGAACTGAACTAGAACTGAACTAGAACTGAACTAAAACTGAACTAGAACTGAAC